TTATATCTGGATTACAGCTTAGTTTAAACTCTGCATCGCTCTTTTTTTCTGTCTCTCTTTTTAACCATTAATCCAATAACACGTTCACTTCTACACGTGAAAGATCCCTAGTTTATAACCGGCAGGAGAAATAAACCCAGCCTCAGGGGATCACAGGCCCAGATAAACGGGAGGATAGCGTCAGGAAGGGCATCTGGTGTAAAGTGGTGAAAAATCTCTGCCAAATCAAACATGCAGATCCACCCTCAGGAAAATATTGAGCAGCTGAAAGTACCTTTAATCCAACAGACGTGTTGACTAAACAATCTGTTTATTCTCAAAAAGTCCAAGTTTCTTTCAAGACTCTGCTCCTCCCCATCATCTCTGAGACTGGCTAACGCTCTGGGCTGTATCTCGCTACTGCCTAAACTTTCCTCTGAGATGGGGAATGATGTGCAGTCACTGTTTTGAGGGATGAATTGTGTTATTTCAATACACTTGCATCTAACCTCATTTGACAGCAACTACAGTGCTGTGAAAATGCATTTTACCCCCTTCCTGAGTTCTTAGTTTTATGCATATTTGTCACACTTTCATGTTTCAGAGCATCAAACTCATGTTAATATTAGACAAAGGTAACCCGAGTAAATACAAAATGCAGTTTTTAAATTATGATTTTATTTGTTAAGGGAAACAAGTAATCCAAACCTCTCTGGCCCTGTGTGAAAAAGAAACTGCCTCCTAAATCTATCAGCCGGTTGTGATAACAGGCTATGACTAATTTTCACGTCACTTTGGCCCACTTTCTTTGCAGAGGTGTTTTAGTTCTGTTATATTGGAGGTTTTTTGAACACAAGGGGCCTGTTTAAGGATCTCAGATTTAAATCTGTTTAATAAACCAAGTGTGCTTGAGCTTCAGGGGATGAATTGATGGTCAGATATTCTTCTTCAGGATTTTCTGATAGAGAGCAAATTTTTAGAACTATGGTAAGTCTTCCAGGTCCTGAAGCAGCAAAATTGCCCAGATCATCAGACCATCAAATGCTATATTACAAAAACCTTCCAGAAAGTTCAACTTTTGTCTCGTCAGTACAGAGAGCATTTTCCCAAAAGTCTTGGTGATCATCAAGGAGTTTTTTTGGCAAATGTAAAACAAGACCTCTGACCTTGACTGAGGCAAGTTAGGCCTGCAGTTCTTTAAATGCTGTTCTGGGTTCTTTTGTGACCTCCTGGATGAGTTGTTGAGTAATTTTGGTAGGCTTGCCACTCCTGGGAAGATTCACTGCTGCTCCAAGTTTTCTGCATGTGTGGATAATGGCTCACACCATGGTTAGAGTCCCAGAGCCTTAAATACTGGCTTTGTGACCCTTTCCAGAGTGACTGTTGTCAACGTTTTTGTTTCTCATCTACTCCAGAGTTTCTTAGATCATGGTTGCGTTTTGGTATCTTTTAGCATACATCAGACAGATTCTGTTTAAGGACTTCTTGATTCAACGTGCCTGGCAGTAATCAGGCCTGTGAGTGACTCAGCTTTCCAAAAATTGTGGTTACGCAGTTATTTCATGATTTAACATGAGGTGGCGGTTACTTTTTCCACATATGAATAGGGGGGTGTAGACAGTTTCTTTCATTTAAGAAATATTTAAAAAGTGCATTTTGTATTTCCCCGGATTATCTTTGTCGAATATTAAAAACCTTTTGCTCTCAAACATGTACGTGTGACAGATATGCAAAAAATACAAATGAAAAATACTAAAAAATAAATCAGGAAGGGGGCAAATAGTTTTTCATGACACTGCATATCAAAAAATGATCTAATGGCTGATGCCAGCTTCAGATCACACATTAGTATGCCTCATTACCAATGCATGCAATTAAGAATAATCCTTTTTTATCACCATAATTTTCTTCAATAAATAAGTAATTTCTGCCTGGTTCCAAATTGTTGCTTCTGGCACAAACAGATCTACTCTGTTTTGCTGTGTATGACAGCCTGTAAAATAGCAGCCATCTTCTCTGGGCAATCAAGAGGCTTTTAGATTGCTTTGATACGGGTTCTCACGGTTGTTATGGTGCCTATCTATTTTCTGAGCCTCAGGTCTTAATCTTGAAAATCTCTCAACAATCTAGATCTCCCTAACTGTGTGTCCTCCATCTTATCTTCCTCTTCTGTCTCTTTCTTTTTGTCTCTGTCTTTCTTGCTTTTGTCGCCTGTTCTGCTTGCAAGCAGTGTTCGGGTATTTATGGGACGTGCTTATTCAATTGTCCGACTATGAGCTTCGGGACAAACACACTGACAAAATTCAAGCTTGTATTGCTTGATTGAGGACACGAGCTCTGTCACACAACCACTCAAGGAAGAAATGAGTCCTTGGTATTTGTCTAAGCTCTTGCTTGTTGCGCTCTGGATTACAAGGAAAGGGAAATAAGACCAATCTCATTATCCTCTCCTTCTTTGCTGAGCATTTAACTAGAGATTTTTTTTAAAAAAGGACTTTATCTTTGTGTTTATTTGTGTTTCTCTTGTTTTATACTTTGCCTAATGTCAGAGATCATATCCCTTTAGAATAAGACATGCGTGACTCCTGGGGTGCTAACCTATGATGACTGCATGGCATTAGTGGTTTCATAGCACAGGGCCAACCCAAAGTCACACTTTCAGCCTCTCACTAAGGTCACTGCATCTCCCGAGGCTTGGAACAGACAGCAGCTTGGCAAGCAAGGGCAAATAGAAAGTAACGTTCCCTTAAAGGCAGGCTGTCTTTGGAAAAATTTGGATGTGAATAATGCAGAGATTTCAAGCCTCTTAGGATTAAAGTCCACTGTTTGTGTGGGTGGGCAGTCAAGCAGAGAGAATAACTTCCTTGCCACAGTCAGCATTATTTAATCAGAATCAAAGACAAACCGAATTACCAAACTTGCATATGGGAAAGACACCTCTGATGCATTCATATCTGCTCGTTAGACCTACTTCAGGATGAATTCATTCATTTCCCCTCGGTACATGTTCACAATTATGAAAGAATATGAACAGCAAAATGAGCAAAAATCTTTTCTTCATTTTCCTTCCAGTTTGTCAAATTCAAGAGTGAGCTGCAGAGGAAGAAAACACCAAGTTGTGAAACTAAATTTAAGACGACTGGTAAATCGCCCTGGCAAACATGCACAGATGAGACTGTCGTTTTCTTCCCAAGATAAAAATACAGTGCATTACACCTACACCAAGCCTACACCGCACAGCAGGCACGGATAGCGACAGCCAAAACCTGTCCTCTACACCTTCAGCGGAGAAAACAACAGAAACTAGTTGACCCCAATTATCCTGCCTTCACCACAGTCTTCGAGGTTAGATACGAACAGGATCCGCTGCCCTTCGAGGCCAGAGGGCGACTCTATCTGGTCTGCTGAAATAAAACTTGTTCGATACAACAATAACTTCGAGCCCCAAAGAAACGCAGAAGATCAAATTCTCCCTTCTCTGAATACACGATTGAAACTTGCTCTTAAAATTTGGCACTCTGTATCCATCAAATCAAAATGAACAGCAAACAAAGGAATCTGGCTTCTATGGCTTCTTGGTTCACCAGCTTTGTCACTAGTTAATCCTATTTAATCCAAGGTATCGGTATCAAATGTAGCCCAGCAGGGAAGTAACAACCTTCCCAAAGCTGAACAACATGCAGTGCATGTCTGTGTGTGTGCACTGTCTCATAGAAGAACGTGATGCTTGGTAACCATCCTGCTCTTAATATCCTATTAGGGGTAGATCAAGTGTACTGATGGGGGAGACTGAGTGTCATCAGAAGCAGATTAAAGCTCTGTGCAGTGTAGAGGGAATATGGGGAGTAAAACTCACTTCATTAAGGTGATCAAGTGCTTTGTGGCTGGGGCTTCTGTGCTACAATACAACACTTGCCTCGTGATGATGATGAAGATTATATTGTGTGAAACTGCATTTTTCTTTCAATGTGGCACAGATTCACAGAAGCAAATCCTAGAGCCTAGTATCACATTCAAATATACAAAGGGCATATCCAAGATACTTTATGCATTTTTTTTATCTCTCTATCTGAGTTTATCCATGTCAAACACAATCAGGACACACCATCAGGCTCTTGTTGGCCGGATAATCCGTCTGCTGTGAGAACACACACAGAGTTGGACCACTTAGGCAAGAGATAGATATTAATGACACACACGGAATGCACGCACTGTGTCTACACACTCCAAAATCAGAGGAGCGTCTTCTTCTTTTTTTCCTTCTTCTTTTATTTTCCCATAAATGGAAAAGATGCAGCAAGGGGATGCATTGTAGATATCGGGACTTGTAGCTCAACTGGGATGATATCGAGCATAAAAATAAGCAAAATGGTAAATGATAAAATCATGATGCACCTGGAGCTTAAAAGCTCCAAGATAGACAAACAATTATAATCTATTTATGTTAGTTTTTGCTTGCGAGGAAGAAGCTTCACAGAAAAAAAGGGGGGCAAAGTATCATTTCATCATTGTGTGCTTAGTTAGATTACTGTGTCGTGTCTAGTGAAACGGTCAGATGAGCTGTCGCTGCAGCTCTCTAACCGGCTGTGATCCAAAGAAACTAGATACTAGTTCTTTCATAAGAGTCAGTACAGAGCGCGCTCATAACAGAAAGTCTATTCTGGTGGAGATTTAAGTTGGTTTTTTTTGTTTTTGTTTTTTGCAACCTGTTAACCACAGCGTCGGTCTGCTGCTGGTTTGACAGCGGTCTGTCCACGCTGCTGAACCGCAGCTCCCGCCACACACACACACAAGCACGGGGACCTGTTCGTTCAGCACCACACCGCGGCACATAAACCTGAACACAACACTTCTGTGTCGAAATAATGGAAAGGCATATGCATAACATCAGTGACGAAAATGAATGTCATCGCCAAGACGCGCGTAGTTGCCAGGCAGTTTTTCATTATTATTATTTTTATTATTAATTTGAATGTTTTCAGTGTTTCTCAGATAACTCAGCTGCTGGAGCCTTTACTTACACGAAAACTCCGAAAAGCAGAACTCTGATGCCAATCTCCAGAGCCAATTCTCGCATGTTTTTCCTGCGGTCTGGAGGCGACACGTTCATGATTCGGAGACAATCCGTCAACTCAAGCAGAAAAAAGGCGGTCCCGGTCAGTTCTGGAGGCTTTTTCACTTTTGTAATCCACCTTAACAAAAGCCCAGCGCTCCCTAATCGCGCATGCCGTGCACCTCCATTTCAACTCGGTCACCTGAAGCAGTCTTCCTCTCTTTTTCGCTCCTTCGCCTGTCTCCGCTCGTCCCCGTCTGTTTCTGTCCCCCTCGGGCGATTTTCTTTAAAGCAACTCTGTTGCTGACAGCTGCTCTTCTATCGAGTGAAACTCTCCTTCTTCCACTCCATCAGTTTCTTAATTTAAGATTGGAGTTCGGGGCCAGAAGATATCAGCCGATTTGGGAGAAGGTACAGGTGTGGGTCAGCACAGAGAGGGAAGTGATGGGAGGCTGCAAAGTAAAAGGGAGATACTCAGAGCGTCAGCGAGCTTGTGTGGTGTGGGTCTCGCTCTCTCTTCTCTCTCTCTCTCTCTTCCTCTCCCTCTCTCTCATCCTCTGTGTTTGACTTTGGAGATTCAGATGACTAGAAGTTTCTGGAACACCACCCAGACACTCATGGGAGGAAAAGAAAGGCTCGAGTGCTCATGTCCAACACTCCTCCATGTTTCTTCTTGTCTGCTCTGCACTAAAGAGACCTTGAACCAACATCTCTTCACAGACTACAATGACCCACTGGCTGTAAATGCGACACAAAGCAGGGCGGCTCTCCACTGGCACAGTCTGGGCAGGTGTTCATGACCAGACCCTTTACAACTCTAGTAGAACTAATCCATCAACACCGGTATCAGGCTTACCTGATATTACTGACACATGATATTGCAATCCTGGAACAAAAGAAGACCACTTTGGGAGGGGTGGAGGGACTTTCTCTCTGTTGGGCCTTCCACATACTGTCCAATCATACCCTATGACAAATCTAGCACCTCAGGGTCTAAGCAGTCAGGCAGTGATGAAGAAGCACAGACAGCAGCAATACCTGTGAGCCAGGAAACCTTGCCAGCACTTTATAGACACACATGAATATTTTATGCCCTCTAAAGCTGGCCTTCCTGCATTACCTGCCAGTCTGAAACGTGCCGCTGTGTGCATTTGAATGCATGTTAGGCCGTGAGGGAGAGACCACTGAAGAGAAAGCCCCAGACCACAGATTTCTTTCTGGGTCACAAGCTCTGCAACCTGGGACGAAATAGAAAGTCTGCATCTTGCTTGGTTAACAAGGCATCCCTTTAGCTATGTGTAGCTAAGATAAATAAATGTAGGTTATGGGTGCACGCTCTTATACACGCAGACGCACAGCAGAGGTTTTGATGTATTCCCTTTTTTTCATACATTTGAATTCTAGGTGATGTGCCTGGAGTCTTTGCCAGTTCCCTAATAAGAACAAAACAAGAGGAGAAGCGAGATGGTGGTAGGTTGGTAGGTGAGCTCCAACTTCAAAGCTTTCTGCCAGCCATCAGAGTTTTCAGCTTTTAGAGAACCTGGCATGTTTATTACAAGCTATCAACATTGTTTTTATCTCGCAGCATCACAGGACTTGTGATTTAGCTGATTCACTCGGGCCAGACAGGCTTTACAGACTTTCCAAGCATCAACACAGGGTGACATAAAAACGTAATTATTGGATAGAGAAAAAAAGAAGTTTGTTCTGTCTGGTTGATGCCATGGTGGTCTTTTGTTGCCAAAAAGCAAACATTCGAGTTGTGAGAAAAAATACACCGCTTTCCTTTTTGTTTCAACTTTGGTTTTTCATTTTCTTTAAACACAATTCACACTTTCATTTATGTGTTTCTGTGACCCATCTCCAAGTTTTCCCCCTTCCACTTTTCTGGAATGTAGACTGTGAGTCACATTCCCTGAGGTTCTGGTTACCCTTCAAGGTTAGACATATAGCGCACTCCAAAACAGGTTGTACTTCAATAAATCAAAGTTGAAGGCATCATTACAAAGTGCTCCTAATCGCTTCCATGGGTATGGGTGCATATTCTCTGAGACAGAGTGACTCATCACGCCACACAGAGATTGGTTGAATCAATTCCCCGAGTTCTTCACTTTATTGAACCTCACTTCTCATTACACTTTTATTGTTTTAAAAAAAAAAGTCTGGTTCATTTGCACACAGAGTCATTTTATTACGTGGGCAGCATTTACACATTCTGATCTAAATATGGACGTCTGAAGTCTGATGCTGTTTTTCCAGCATTGTGTACTACAGGGCTAAATAAGATGTGCATTTGAAAGCATGTCTTTTCAAGGAAAGTAAAGCTGAAGACTCTGTGAGGAAAAACATCCAGTTTTATGTTTTATTCTTGGAGTTCTATTATTAGTTCCCCGAAATCTGAATGAGTTGTTGAGCAGAACAGCCAACTGTGAAAGACAATTCAGCTACTCCCCAAAGTGAAGACGCATATTTCACGGCTTGGTTAGCATCCTCTATCAATTACAAAGTAGCATTCCACAATAGAAGAATGATTGTTTCAGATAATGAAAACTAGAAAATGGAATACTCTGAGCAAGAGAAGCAAAGGTTTTCGAGTTCAAGACTTCCATACATGTTCATTCTCTGCTTATAACAGCTATGAATTTCAGCAAATGAAGCATATGTGTAAGTTCAATGAGGAAGATCTGTAATCACTCATCTGCCTGCTTTCCTCTTTGTTCTGCCACTAGTTTGTTCATTACATCACTACCACTTTCCCACGCTGTCAGTCTCATTACTGACGTCATTACTCTAGTCCAATCATCTTCTTGCCTGGATTCTTTGAGCCAGTCAGACTCCACTCTGTGTGGTTTAAATCTGTGCTCTCTGTCATTCTCACTTTCAGACTGTCCTTCATGCAACCCACCTGTCCCCATCTCCACCTCACCATAGTCACAAGCTTCATCTTCACCACCATCAGTGGCTAGATTCCAGCCTGTCCAGTCCTAAATCCTTTCACCACTGGGATTCTGTTCTGCCGTGATGGGTCATCAGAAACTCATCAACAAATCAATATCTCAGCAAATCATGTTAAATTCTGCCAGTCTCTACTTATTGAACTTATAGATTTGTATGTACAGTATATCTGTTAATATAACTCTTTTTTGCAGTGGATTGAACTGAACACAAGGGATGTCCCACTTTGCCCTTTTTGTTTTGCTTCACAACCAGATCCCAAGCTGGTCCTGAAATGATCACTAAAGTACAATTTACAAAATAAGGGGGGAAAGAATATCTTTGTTGTTGCATGTTAAATGCAATCCTGTTTACCTCACCAGGTTCCAGCAACTACTGAGGACGAAAACATTCAGTGAGGGCAAATTTCTTCTGAGACGAACTTCTCTGCAACATAGACTTAATCGTAGACACTTGTTTTTACAGTATTAAGGGATCACAGATGTGAATCCCTCCATTAAATTAATCAAACTTAACCACTGAACTTGTCTGAATAAAGATGACAGAAAACTACACCAAGGAGAGGAAATGTTATTATCGTTTTCATACTAGGCTCCATTTTAATTACTTACCGTAAGTGGAATACCTTAGGTAAATATTACGTAGGATTCAAAAGACTATCCAGTGGAACTGCGTTTCTTCATGACCAGTAATAATAATAACAATAATAATAATTTAACCAATCAAAATTAAGCTAAAACTGAACTTTTCACATACAGTAAAACATGAATGTGCAAACAGACAAAAAAGCAGAAGAATAAAATAAAATACTACAAATAAAAATATCTGTAAAGGTTAAGTCCAACTTTACATCATGTGAAGACATTAACAGCTTATTTAAGCCAAAAGCACAGTTTCTGACTATTGCTTTACAGGGAGTGCAGAATTATTAGGCAACGTCCTTTCCTTTGGCAAAATGGGTTAAAAGAAGGACTTGACAGGCTCAGAAAAGTCAAAAATAGTGAGATATCTTGCAGAGGGATGCAGCAATCTCAAAATTGCAAAGCTTCTGAAGCGTGATCATCGAACAATCAAACGTTTCATTCAAAATAGTCAACAGGGTCGCAAGAAGCGTGTGGAAAAACCAAGGCGCAAAATAACTGCCCATGAACTGAGAAAAGTCAAGCGTGCAGCTGCCAAGATGCCACTTGCCACCAGTTTGGCCATATTTCAGAGCTGCAACATCACTGGAGTGCCCAAAAGCACAAGGTGTGCAATACTCAGAGACATGGCCAAGGTAAGAAAGGCTGAAAGACGACCACCACTGAACAAGACACACAAGCTGAAACGTCAAGACTGGGCCAAGAAATATCTCAAGACTGGTTTTTCTAAGGTTTCATGGACTGATGAAATGAGAGTGAGTCTTGATGGGCCAGATGGATGGGCCCGTGGCTGGATTGGTAAAGGGCAGAGAGCTCCAGTCCGACTCAGACGCCAGCAAGGTGGAGGTGGAGTACTGGTTTGGGCTGGTATCATCAAAGATGAGCTTGTGGGGCCTTTTCGGGTTGAGGATGGAGTCAAGCTCAACTCCCAGTCCTACTGCCAGTTTCTGGAAGACACCTTCTTCAAGCAGTGGTACAGGAAGAAGTCTGCATCCTTCAAGAAAAACATGATTTTCATGCAGGACAATGCTCCATCACACGCGTCCAAGTACTCCACAGCGTGGCTGGCAAGAAAGGGTATAAAAGAAGAAAAACTAATGACATGGCCTCCTTGTTCACCTGATCTGAACCCCATTGAGAACCTGTGGTCCATCATCAAATGTGAGATTTACAAGGAGGGAAAACAGTACACCTCTCTGAACAGTGTCTGGGAGGCTGTGGTTGCTGCTGCACGCAATGTTGATGGTGAACAGATCAAAACACTGACAGAATCCATGGATGGCAGGCTTTTGAGTGTCCTTGCAAAGAAAGGTGGCTATATTGGTCGCTGATTTGTTTTTGTTTTGTTTTTGAATGTCAGAAATGTATATTTGTGAATGTGGAGATGTTATATTGGTTTCACTGGTAAAAATAAATAATTGAAATGGGTATATATTTGTTTTTTGTTAAGTTGCCTAATAATTATGCACAGTAATAGTCACCTGCACACACAGATATCCCCCTAAATGAGCTAAAAGTAAAAACAAACTAAAAACTACTTCCAAAAACATTCAGCTTTGATATTAATGGGTTTTTTGAGTTCATTGAGAACATGGTTGTTGTTCGATAATAAAATTATTCCTCAAAAATACAACTTGCCTAATAATTCTGCACTCCCTGTATACCGTCACGGTAAAAAGAAAGAGCTGCCTCTGCAGGCTCTAAGGTTTTGCATATCAGGGTAAAAACCGAGTCCTTAACAGGTCTTAATATGAGGTGTTTGTGTTGACTTGCTATGTTTGGTTTTCATTTGCTGTGCGCTTTGCCCAACATAACATACTTTGGTCTGTCAAAAGAACATTGTTCCAGAAGCCTTGTGGTTTGTTCAAGTTTGCAAGCCTGAGCTGTGCTGCCATGTTCTTTTTAGAGAGGAGAGGCTTTCTCCTGACAGCTCTT